GAAAGCACGAGCGCCCGTGACGTCGCCATTCGTACGGGCGTTGACAGATTCTGATAGAACTGAGTGCTTTGTAAAAAACATGTTTTCAAAGCTTAGACATATTCAACTATAGATTTGGTTGGGAACCGGGTGAATTGACAAACCTACATCATCAGCCCATGAGACGAACGTTGCTTTGCTCGAGCGACAAGCTGCCAGCTAGACAGCAGATCGGGCGGATTGGTGCCAAAGTCTTGGAGCCATCTGCTGAATCCAACCTTACTTGGCGGCCCAACGCCCCCCCCAACAAAGTCTAAGGTTCCAAAAATGAATTCTATTGAAGAGTTCTGAGTGACCAGGCCTCATCCTCCAGCCAATCACCATCTTTGAAACACCCTTTAGCTTTGCCACGTTCAGCAAAGCACCAAAGTTCTTAAACGTAGGTACTTGCTGATCCTTCTTTTTTGGCTTGCCTTTCTTACCCTCTTTCTTTGGTTTCTTCTTTTCCTCATCTTGACCGCCCTTGCGCTCATCAAGAAGAAAGCACAGGGGCTTGTCAGGCTGCAGGACTTTCTGATCTCCAGTGCCACTGAAGGCATGATGGCTCACTTTCAAGTTCACCTGTCAAAAAGCAAGGAGGTCCAATAATTCAAATCCACGTCCAAAACCACAGCAACATAATGTTCAATTACCAAGATCAAGAACTTGGAGCTGCCTCCCCGCAGTCCTCCAGATCAAGCAACAGTTTCCGCAGCATTGTTGGCCGGTCCACTGAAGGACACTGCGTCAGATGTTCTGGAATGTCCTTCTTTTCAAGAAGGACTATGCAATCCATTGCTGCCACAAATTTGAACCACCTGCCACTGCTGTCAGCCATGGCCTCTGTCGCCTCCTGACAAACTTAATGCATGGATGCTTTTCCTAATTTAATGCTAAGCCTGTAAGAACAAGACATGATTGAGCTGAGAGTCGCTGCCAGATCTCCACTCGCCTGATCCAAATGAAAACCTCAACAAAAACAGGGATGGACAACATGCTTCATAGACAAATGTTGGAACATCTAGCTGCTTGGCTTAGCTGTTCGTGCATTTCCTGTGTGATACATAATGCTGACAAGATGCAGCTCCCTGTGTGGTTGGAACTCGTTCTTGCCTTTTGACAAGATATACAGGGTCGCACCATCAGCACACGTGAGAAGCTCCGAAGAATTGTTCAGATTCATTTTTTGCCTCAATGTTGATCAAGGTCAAGGTTTGGAGAAAAAGATGTTTGAACTTGCAACTAATGTCTCATGGGTGAATCATGAGGTAGGTAAGATTGAAAAAAAACACTAGAGTTGCAAACCAAGTCACGACCCAACCAACTTTGTGATGTCGGCTTCAGTGCACGTATCAGCGTCCTCAATCTTGATCCGTTTGGCTTCCGGCTCTTCCTTGACTTTCTCAGTCCTTAAAGACTTTGTTAGAGCTTCAGAGTTAAGATGGCAACATTGATTACTGTATTTGTCACAACCATCTTTGCATTCATGTTTAAACAGTCAAAGCAAGTCTCTGAGCTTCACCTTGAAGGAAATCTCCATTCGCGTTGAACTTGCTGTTGTGATCGTTGATGATTTGTGTCGCCTGTTCTCTTGTTTGATCTTCATCGATCCATCGCTGGGCATACAGCTGTAGCACTGCTAGTTTGTTGGAGTCGACGACCTTGCATACCTTGTAGCTCTTCTCAACCGCTTCACTTGGGCCCTGCTTCAGCGCTGTGACTATCGGGGTAAAGTCTGGGAAACTTGGTAGCTGGAGCTGACCTGCCCGGCATGCATCATGCACCTGGTTTGCGATGCGACTGTTCAATTCTTCGCATGGCAAGTCCAAAAGCACGGAGGCGCACATCACCCGATTTCCTGCCGCTTGTTCCTGGAAGGGACCAACTAGTGTTGCAGAAATCAAAATGATTGGAATACTTATTGACTCATTGTATAAAAACTCAAAGGAAGTCTCTTCAAGACAGTGCTAAGTCAACAATTCCTCCAATGTCCTCCAACGCTGCTAAACATGGAAAGCCGTCGTACCCAGTAATGTCCAGCAACAATGTTGTAGCAACTGAAGGTGGCCGCAAGGAGTCCAGGGTTGTTCGAACTATATTGGTCCCTGCCGCTACCTGACAACAAATTGCATACTACTTAGTACTATTAAGTGACAACATGACAACAAATGAACATATTGCGAGGCCAATTTGCAGGTCTGTGAATGGAACAATTAATTGAAATGCAACAAATGCAATTGAGGACAAAATGAAATGCAACAAACAAAAACATATTTGCAACAAATGAATCTGAAGCCTGTCTCATCTCCTGGACATCTGTGATAGCCCGACCCAAATGGGGTAAGCTCTTCCGCGATGATGGACCCTGTCAGACGGGAGCGAAAGCCAACAATGACAATGACAACAAAAAGAGTGGAAATCACAACGACAACTAGTGCACATTCAATATACGAACCTCTGGTTTCCACATACCGCTTCTTGGTAGCATTTGTATGCCATGCAGGGCTCCCTGCTTGAATGCTTTCGTCGCACGGAATATATTGTACTTTTCGGTCTTCGACACAATCAGGAGCCCACTCAGAGTTCCGTCCCGCTTTCCATAGATGCTCTCCTTGAAGTCACTGAAAAACAAGCGTAACATAGCAAACAAATTGAAGCTGTTCATTGCTACAAGAAAGGGCACTTTGTCCAAGTAACCTGATCGAAGACCATTGTCAACGGTCTGCAAAGAAGATTCAAGTCTTTTGCAGACAGTGCCTTCCTTTGCAGGCAGTGCAGTTAAAGAAGGTGCTTGCAAACATGAACCCAAAGAAAAACAGCCGAACAGCTTGTCAAAACATTTCAAAACAGTTTTTTGATAGTTGCTGCAAGCCCAAGTATCTCCATCTGATACCTGACGTCGCGGACGTCAACATCATCTGCTGCTGCTTTCTCATCATTTTCACTGTCATCATCATCGCTGGGTTCCTCCTTCTTTTCATCCTTGAATTTCTCTTCATCCTCTTCTTTGAATTCTTTTTCACCATCTCTCCTGCCAGGGCAGGAGAGCAATCTAGTCAGAAAATCAGACAAGCGGTGTAGTGACAAATTAAATTGAATTTGTGTTTGAACAAAACCCCTCCCAGGTGCAGCTTGTGCAGCTCGGTTCCCATGGATCAGAACTGCGATCCCGTTCTTCTTGTACTTGTTGAGGGCATTTCCAAGAAACGTGATGACCCATTCACGCTTGTGCGTCGTAAGAATGCCCTGTGTTGGAAGGTTGCACCAGATGATGACACAATGGTCGTCATTGTCTCTGACATCGGGAATGTCAGCTAGTGTCTGCTCACACCACTCGTGTAGTGCTGGCATGACTGTAGTAAGTGATTCGCTTGCACGCCCTGGCAGGATCCGCAAGGTAGACGATAAGTAGTCCCGCACTATCTCCCATGAGCGGTTGTGAGCTTCCTGCCATGATTGTATCATGAAACAGGATCATCCTTATTAGGGTAAATCCGTTTTTCTTAAATGAAGTTTAGAAACATTTCATTTTCTCCAACTTCTTCGCAAGAACATTGCCCCCTTCATGTCCTCCAGTTGCTTCACCAACTTGTTCCGTGCTTTGGCATGAGACTTCTCTTGCCTGGACAGTTTGCGCTAGTGAACCCTTTCCTCCCGCCGTGCGCTGGGCTGGGCTGGTCTTTAAGGGGAGCCCACAACAATATTATTTTATTGCAAATAATCTGCAAATCCTAAAGTGGAAAAAACATACACCTGTTAGAAAGACAATGTGCTTCTGATTATTCAGGGGCAAGTGGCAGGATCAGCTCTTGTTCAAATTGTATTTGATCGCTCTGCAACTGTTCCTGCCAAGCCAAGAAAGCCGCCTGCAATGATTTGGATAGCGCGCTACGCTGCCGATCTTGGGCTTCGGAAATGAAGGTCTCTAAGGTCACTCCGCGCACCTGATTTCAAGTTTGTCTATTACACAAATCAAAACAAGTTCTTCTTTTATCTTGAACTGCATTAAAATTCCCTTCACCGTTTCAGCAAAATATGCTCTTTGCTTTGATGATCGAGTTGACTCCAAGTCATTGAAACGTGTTCACAAGCGGCCAATAGATCCGAGAAAGCTTCAAGACCCATTTGCAAGAAGTGGCTAAGTGCAGTGTTTTGTTTGATGAAAACATGCTTCTCAGGGTGTTAGGGTCTCCTAACCTTATTCTTGCCAACATGCCAGTATATCTATATATATTATTATACATAAATATGAATCTGAATATGAATATGGTCCATTCCATACAAAATTAGACACTCCAATGTGGGCCTCCAGGATGAAATTGATTCGCCTCCAGTCGAATGGCTCCGCACTCTTCATTACTGTGGTCAAATCAGCATCCAGCGACCTTAGACAACAAGTCTTGACGGAGCTTATTACCAGTTCTGAAATAATAAATATCTGAATTCTGGAAAAACTACTAAAAAGTTACAAGTCCTGAAAGACTCCAAGAAATCAATCAAACCAACCATGCCAGTTTCCTCTTTCTGGAAGTGATCGAGTTTCCAGAAACCCAATCACAATTTGCTATAGCTTGGAGGTTCCAATCATGTGACAGAATTGCAAAGAATTGTCCAGCAATGATGTGTGTATTTTTGGCAATATGTATTATGATCGGGTTTCTGGAAACTCAATCACTTCTTGGATGTAAATCTGAAGTCCAGGGGATGATCCATTTGGCGGCGGCCAACCTCATCCCAAAATTGCGATCGAGTTTCTGGAAACACAATCACATTTTGGGCTGGTGACTTGGCGCCAGCCAAATGGCTGCAGCCAAATCCAACTCAGACCACTTGATCGATGGGTGTTCGCCATAAAAGTAATTCCCCAGTATGATCGCCACCCACAAAAAAACACCAAAAGCGCCCAAATACCCTTTCATGAAGAGCTCCCAGTGCTGGTCCATCACGGCTTGTGGAAATTCAGCTGACATCTTTGGCACCAAGTGCAGCCAAAGACAAACCACATCGAACAGCTGAAGATGCTGCTGCTCGTTCAGCTGTGCATTCTTCTGCAAAGGGGCAAAGGCTGAAGTTAGTTCCATCAAACATGGTGTTGAAACCCGATGCCTTCGCCTTGGTAGACGCCTCTTTGCTGACAGCTCGTGCAAAGTCCTAGCAGGAACATCAACACCACTACTTGACCCTACCCTAGTGTTGGAAGCATCAATGTCCTGGGTCACCCGCTTGACCCAAAGTAGTGTGGTCTCTTCTGTCACCTCCAGGATCTCCCTGAAAAAGTCCTTCCCAGCATAGATAGGATTGTCAATCCTTGCCGTCGATTGTGGGACCCAAAAGTCCATACCGAGTATTTCCATAGAAAGTCCTTCACTGCGACAAGAATGGCCACACATAGAACTTTCATACAAACAAGCAGTCCTGAGCTTGAATGGGAGTAGCAATCGTAGTGCCCGTGGATGATACGGACCACTTCCGGTGGGGCTCTCAACCTTGCATTTGGACAAACAATGAGTCTGTGTTTTCTTTCTTTGTGTGTGGGAGCTAAAACTGCATCAAAGGCACATGTTGTAGCACATCATCTTCTTTTGTTGATCGATTCTATGGCTCTTCAACGTGCATAGCCGGTTGTACTCGGCAACTACCTTGTTCAGCAGGTCTTTTGTTGCTTGCCGAGATCCTGGTCGCATTTGACGTTTTTCCAGCTCAATCGACATCTTCAAATCCGCCATGAAGGTGATGGCTGAAGGAGAAGTCTTCTCCGCAGAGACGTGTCCGATTTCTTAGTAAATTCAAGACATCAATGCTTGGACTATTGTTGGCATGTCCAACCATGACCATGATGCTATAATTATTGTTATCAAGCTTCTCAAACTCTGAAGGAAGTGCATCGTGGGATTTGAGTAAAATGTGTAAGAACATCTCACCCATCTGAAGCTCTCCAGCATCTTGAGCACATCTGGATTCTGTAATTCTTGGGCCTCGCTCCATTCCTTGGTGGGCATGGGAGAGGCAGAATTCATGGGGGAGACTCCTAGTCTAGTTCACAAGGAAAACTTGTTGGGACAAGGCTCCAATTCATGGATAAATGCAAGGATGCTCGTCATCAGCAGGACTTTCGTTTGTCCATCTACGAAGCCAATGCTACAGCTTTCAATCTCCCGAGACGGGGGCGCATAGGGAAATTTGATCTCCACACATTCCCTCGGAATGTATCCGCCAAGAAATTCGCGAAAGTGCTTAGCGAACTGGCTGTTCTGCGGGTAGACTCAGGGGTGGTCAGCGGCAAGTGAGCAAGAGTCTGTGGAAAAAGCTCAGGCAAAAACAGTTAAACATTACTGTTGTTTGTGAACACCGGACATCCATTCTTGGCATCAGGGCTGATGTCAAAGAGGTGGAGCGGCAGCCAAAGTTCTTGCAAGGAAGTCTGTGGAACTAGGCTCAATGTTGGCCTCAAAGTCCCTGCTGCATCAAAGCGTTCCACCACCAAAGTCTTGACAACCTGAAGGGTGAGTTCCCCAAGAGGGCTATTCAAGTGGGCTTGATCCCCAAGCTCGGGCCTTTTCGAAGACGCTGCGATCTTCAAAGACTTTGTTCACGTGGTCCCCTAAGTTGCTTCTGTCCACAACCTTGGGGCAAGGCCGTCAATGTGAAGAAGACCATAATTTGGTCTTTCTAGGCACCAGGCAGTCTCGAAATAGGTGCACAGTTGACCCAGCGGGGTCTCCGGGCTCATGTCCGGCATTGGCATTGCCAGAACTTGAACTACCCAAAAGGAAAACAAATGAAACAAGGTCCCTTTTTGCCTGTCTGATGGTTTGCAGCTATTCTGCTTTTTCCCACATACATACACACTCACTTCCTTGAGCGTTCAACATGCACATGCTCAACAATGCAAGGAACTGGCACTTGAAAAGATTACAAACTGAGTAAAATGACTGACACTGACACGCAGGCCACGGTGATTTCTTCAGTGTGCTCTCACAGTCGCCAGGACTCCCCACTTTAGAGCCACCTTTGCGGCTCAACCCCCGTCCGCAGCCCTGTGGAACACTACTCTCAGCTTGTATGGCTTCGGTTGAATGCCTGGATTTCCAAGCACCACATCGCCGACACGATCATCAGCGGTAGGCCCCACATCGATGAACTCAAAACGCATTGGAGCTTGTTTGTCTCTGTTTGGGTCGGTCAAGAACTTGTAGTAGGCACCGGCCCGAGCCAAGTGTGGAAAGTCAACCTCGAATTGGCGCCGGAGTTTGTCAAGTTCACCACGCCTATCACTTTCCATGGATGGCCGAACAAAGGGGAGAGCAGCATCAGGATTGGCAACCCGTGCCCAACAATGCCTGGTTGAAGCTATGTACCCCTCCGGATAGATCAATAGTGGAGTTTGCGAGAGGTGTTCTGAGCTCATCCGGAGTTTGGTCAAGGCAAAGATATCTTTGCCTTGCCCACCATTTCTGAGCCGTACCGGCAATCTCTCTTCCGTAGTCACGCCGTTTGGCATATCTGCCAGGGCTCACACAACGCTCCCACTAATCTTCATCCATAAACATGAAATCTGTGAAGCACTTCCAGCCTTGTCGTCTGATGAACATGAACTGCTGAGGAACTGCCATTGGCGGATCGCCATCGTTCTGTTTTCTGCTCTTGTAGGCGCCGTAGAGATGTATATTTGCAGGCATGATCTTGGTCCAATCATGGACCTTGGTTTGACATTGACACAAGCGCCTTATCACAACAATTAGTCACGTTCACTCATGGTTCACAAGAATTCAGCCTAGCAACCATGTCCATCAGCTCTACTTTGCATTCCATTCCAGATCGCTCAAATAGTGGTGCCACACGATTCTCCAAAGCCCTCACGGACAAAGTATTTAGGCAACAAAATGGGAAAGAAATATGAACAATGAATCATATGTTAAACACGCTGTATGGCTTGCCCGGCCTTTGGATATCTCTTGGAGTCTGAAGATCACCACAGCTATTCAAAGCTGATGTTACGACACTCAGGGCAGCATCTGGGATATGCAAGGACTGCAAACTGTCCAAAAAGAAACATCCAAGACATCGGGATTCACAGCCCAGCCTACATCTTCGTGAGTGTGGCCCTTTTCCAGGTGGGCACCAGTAGCTTGTCTGAAGTATCCTCCTTGAACGAGGAGGATCATCATCCGGTGAAGGATCTCATTGCGCACTTCCTTCACCGCGTTGTCCCCCTACCTGACGGGGGAATGCAAAAGCAAAGAAGAAATGGATAGATGATATCTGAGGTGCGTGCTCTGTAGGAAATGTAATTCCTTGCCGCCTGGAAAATTTCCAAGCGAAGTCAATTGACTTCAAAGCCTGGAAGAGGGGGGGGGGTGCACCGTGAAGTGTACTCCAAACAATGCATTGAAGCTGACATACTGACATGACCAAGTGGCAATCTCACATGACCAGTTCGCCCCACAAGGAAGATCTTCATGGCTCAGAAAAAAGTATATTCCAAATCCGTGAATGATCGAACATGTAAGAGTCAATTGCGTTCCTTGGCTGTGATCAGATAAAACAAATCAAATGATTCTCTGATGCACATTTTCAATTGGGAAAAGCGTCGCTTCAACAGCTCGTACGTTGTGGACTTTGGACTTCGTCTGTTGGGCCAGCGAGGCAAACAAAGCTTCCCCTTATCATAGGAATCAATTATGTTGCATAAAACGTCTCTCTCCACACGGCTGCGATTCCTCGCTAGCCAATAGATGTTTCTGTCACGCCATTGCATGGCGTAATGATGCAAGAGCTGTGATGATATCTTTGCATGCTGGATGAAGTCCTAAGCCCAATATCCACTTCTTTCGCAACAAGGTTGGATTCAAGACTCAAAAACTAGGCTCAAATTTCAAAGGCAGCTTCAAGTACATTGCCACTGCCAAGTGGCTGTTGCGTTTGCAAGCTGTGACTTCAGAGATGTGCAAGTAGTGCACACGGAGTGCATTGAGGGTTTGTGAAACTTTAGGCACACCTTCCACTTCTGCGCTACAGTGTAGAAAATGCTGCGCCCTGCCGCTTCCTGATCCTGTTCTTGGCTGTAGGCACAGTAGAGAGCAAACAGACTCGAAAGGTTTCCGTGAGGAAGTTTCTTCTCAGGAAGGTGCTGTGGGTTGCAATAGAAGGACACCTGCATAGAAGGTCCTGTGAGCTTATTGTCAACCAATCTCTGTAGCAATTCCTGCTGAAGAACCTTGTCGTCTTCCTCGATCATTGCTTTTGGCGTCCCCCTTGGATAGGAAGAAATGGTCTGAGGAGGATTGAAGGATTGATTTTCATGCAACGACTGATTATCATTCAACCAGGGACATGGTCGTCACACTCTCTCCTGCAGACCAGTACAGGTTAATGAAGAAGGATTCCACGGATAATGTCTTCAAAGCTGGCCGTGTCGCAGGTCCTCAGAAAAGCAAGACATGCTTTAGGCCTGTCATATTTATGGAACACAAAAACTGCAATTGAGAAGAGAATCCACCAGGAGCACTCAGGGTCCGTTTGTCTAGACCATGATGATTCCTCTTGCACCTCAATACTCTATTCCGGCCAATGCCAAGATATCGATGAAAAGCTTGACGGCAAAGCTTGTGTCCTGGCACTTCAACATAAATGGAATGAATGATTAGCATTTCCATGAACTAAATGCCCTGTATATAAATGGTCCTTCAATGTGCCATGTATTCCGCTTGCAACGAGCTCCAGATTGCAATCCCCAAAGCACCGTATCTTGTGTAGCTTTCGGCAATCTCCAAAATGTCCTGCATACCCTCACCAAATCGCCCAGTGGTAGCTTGCAGCGACACGAGCAAACCCCGTTGCGAAGAGATTGCTTCATTCTGTTGACTGAGAGGCCCTCCTCAGCAAAGCATGAGAGAGATTCAGTCACTGTGGAGACTGCATGAAGGGCGTCAAGCTGGTGAGCAGTGAGATCAATTGTGCCAGTTCCGCTAGGTCCATCATCGTCAGACAGATCTAAATCTTCAAACTGTTCGGATTCATCAGAATCATCCGATGTAGAGCTGGTGGATGCAGTCCCAGACCTAATACAGCAGGTCTAGCCATGAAAACCAAGCCGCTTCTGAACTAACGCCTTGAACAAAGAACGCATGTTTGCCCAGAAACTCAGAGGTAGTCTCATAACGACCCAACCCCTGGACCGCGGGCGGCGGACACCCATCGGATGAAGAATCGCTCTCCTCCCATCGCCCCAACTGGCATTTTGAGCTCATCTTGAACAAACATACTGTATTTGCAAATGTCACTTTGTCACGTTACACTCACAATGTACATGCTGCAACATGAATGCTGAACCATTGATCCATAAATCAAAATCAAAGTGATGCAACGTGTTTGTTTTTCCTCTTCCGGCTTCACTGGTCAAGCCAAGCGTATGGATTGAATTATAGTGCCAGTTGAATTTCTTCAATTGCTAATCTATCTCAATGAATTGCTGAGCCAGCATCCGCGATACCTTTTGTGGCGAAGTGGCAGCCAATAGTGCACATAGCGCAGGCAGAACTGCTCTCAGAGCCATGGCGTTCCCGGCAATTTCATGTTGTTCCTTAGATGAACCCATTCAAATCAGACTGGTTGAACATCCAAAACCACCAGCGGAATTTTTGCAAAGCATCTCGGCTGCTGAGCATAGAGGTGTCATAGCGATGGATCGGTATGCCCATCAGAACAAGCATTTCCTTTCCAACCAGGAACCGCCCTTTGCTTGTAGACAAAAAGCTTCCATTGGGCCTCAACAACATTAAAGGGTGCAAGCTGAAGGCTAAACTCTAGTAAATCTTTTTTGAATTGAGATTTGTCTGAGCCACCAACGTGATGCACATGATGGGTTCCTTCTCATCTTTGAGTGGCATCTGCGTGAGATTCTGGGAGGTGTTCGCAACAAAGTCAGAGTCACGACCAGAGGCTGTGATAAGATCAAGTGCCTTCAGCGTCACAAATCTTTTGCAAGTGGAAGAACAAAACTAGAACCAGGAGTCCCCCCCCCCCAAAAAAAAGGGAGAGGCTCCTCCATCTCCCGGTAGGTGGTCACATTTCCAGCCGCCTCTGGCCATCGCTCAGCAAAAGCGCCCTTTGAAGCTTTGATGCCCACCTTTTTGGTGCATGGTGTTGTGCACGTTCACTTCAAACATTTAGACTCTGGCCTTATGATCCTTTGCCCATTGACGGTGTCGCTTGAACCATTTGCTCTGCTTATTTACCTTCCTGGGCACAGTCAAAATGAAACCATTCAATGATTGGACACAAACAAGTCTTGCTGCAATAAACAAATTATTAATGACCAGATTCTGTTTGAATGCTGAAGCACGCCGCTTGGATCTTGCTTCCCGATCACGTTGGACTTCAGGGTGAGTGTCAGGAAGGAGGAGGTCAAGCCTTAGAATTGATGTGTCCAAGTATTGCTGGCTTTGATTCATTCACCTTTAGATGCATCTACGGGACCAAGAGCAATCCGCTTTCATGTGCATTTGTTTCAGCTTCTCTTGGAGGAATTCAGTAGGATTCTGCCTTTTGGCTTCATCTGACAACAGCTCCTCCCGGATGAGGAATATGTAAATCCTTCTCCGCGTGATCGGGGCCCCATAGCGCATCCTTAGAAGCCGCATCAACCTTTAAGTTCATGGGAGAAAAGGCCCAATCAATTTCTAGATCTGGCAAGGTGCGGGTTCATGACCACCCATTGGATAAAGTACC